CTGGTCCCCCTGCTGTGCAGGGCCGTTGTCCGGCGCTGTGCTAACCAAATCCCAACCCTCAACGAGCCCTAAAAAATCCAAAGCCCGCCCGAACGTCAACCCACCCTAAGCCACCGCAAGCTGCCACAAAAATCAACCAAAACCCACCCTGAAGCCACCCTCAAGAAACTGAAAAGAACCTTGTAAACCAGCAAACAAGCCAACTAAACCAAGCCGAAGCCCGCCCTAAAGAAACCCCAACGCCTGAAGCCGTAAACCAACCCCAAACAAGCATGAAACTAGCACGACGCCATCCCTAAACCAGCCTACCCTAATTCCTCATGCGAGCATAAGCCACAACTGAACCCGCCCAAACCCCAAACTTACCCTGCAGAAACTTGAAACCTCAACCGCTTAACCCGCCTTGAAACCAACCTAAAAGAGCCACCTGCTGGTTGACGGTGCTGGTGTAAGACGCAAGCATTTGATGGGGATATGTTGTGAAATGCAGCATTTTGATGTCCAGAGCAAGAAACAAATAGAAAAAGAAACGCAGTCAAAATCCTGAAGTTAATCTCCCTATAGGCATAAACGTGTGTGTGTGTGTGTGTCTAAAGCCCTGATCCAGACATCTTTCCATGTCTCTCAGGTGTCTTGAGGATGGGTTGTGGGTGTATGACTTTTCTTTCTTGGTTTTTTGTGGATTTGTGAATATTTCATGGGTTGTTTCACAAGATTGTCATTAAAACAGGTAGGCTTATTTGTTCAGGATGCCGCCCACCTCAATGGCGAGATTGGCGTTGCCTTGCGCTTCAATGCAGAGACTGGCCGTTCCTTGGCTTGCTCCCTCAGATGTGCAACCTTTGTCACCGCCCCAAAGGTTTGCAACCTCAAAAAGGATTGATTCAAAATGCCCGAACTGGGTTCTCCATTGGGCACTGGGAAGAACTTTTCAAGACAGGGCCAAGGTGAAGGCTTTGTTCTGTGGCCCTAGCTTTCAGGTCAGTGCAGGAGAGAAACGAAGGAAGCTTTCGATCAGGAACCTTCCCCTTTGTTGTTGCAGTTCTAAAGGCAGATAACATGCAAGGGGGGAGAGCTCTAGGTTCCTTAGGGTTCCTTTGGGTTCCTTAGAGTTCGTTAGGGCTCCGTAGGTTTTTAAAGGTTTTTTTAGGGTTCCTCAGGGTTTGTTAGGGTTCCTTATCGTTCCTTAGGGACTCCTTTTCTCGAGTGGCATAGAGGCTGAAGAGATGCTTGGCTGAGGCTGGCTTGTTCGACTGCGTAATGGCGAGGCGCCGAGTTGCCGCACGTCGAAAGAACCTTCAAATCTCATGGCGTTTTGGACGGCCTTCGTGTTTTTGTTGAAGGTATCCTGCGTGTCAAGCGAACCAGCCCCAGATTCGGATTTTGACACCCGTAAATGACACTCCGGTGCGTGCCATTTGTTGTTTGAATATTCACGCGGTGAAGCTTCGATAACCCTGCTGTGTGGGTTTGGCGCTTGCTCGCTTGCAACTCCAAGAAGTCTCTAACACTCTTTTTGAGCCAATCCTCATGGGAGGGTCAGGGCATGCTGAACAGGTACTGTGGATGGATTGAATTCTGCTGGTGCCTGGTTTCATCAGTATGTTAGCAAGTCTATATCAGATTTTGCAAACATCAAGATTTCGGACCAGACACTTGATGTCGGAGACTTCTCGGAGAAACTCCGGCACTTGGGCTCAAGCTTTCCGCCATCCCCGCACTCTTGTGGACGCTGGCAAGAGGCCGAGAATCGTGGCAGATTTGTCCCATGTGTGTGTGTGTGTGCGCATTCGACGGTACCCTTTTTTGGGGTGAGTTAGAGGAACACAAAAGGGAGACCACTCATTTTTGGGATCCCCTATTTTACCCATGTCGCGCCTGAGGGCTTGTCGCAAGGTGTTCGGCCAATTTAGTAAGCTGTTCGTGGTAATCTAGGTTCCATAATGGCCTTGCAGGTCTCCTAGGTGGAGTTATCCCGTGGTTAACACCCTTCGGGTGTCTTTGGCAACCAATTGGGGCGAACAGACCGCCCTTGAAAAGGCGGCACACAATGACATAACAGTCTACAAATTGGCTGGGACTTCTGACAACCCCCCCGTAGGAAGCGCAGTGTCAAGCCCAGATTTGGCAACGTGGTGAAAGAGAGGGTGATGCTCCAAAAGTGACAGATTTCCTCCAAATTGTGTTGCACCCCCCCGTGAATCAACTGGGTTCCCGGTATGTGAGTTGGATTTCGAAGGCATCAAGTCGGGCACTCGCACTGCGCAAAGGCAGGATGGCACGTCGGCAGCAACGCCCAGGACTTTTGATCTATGCTGCAGGACGGGCCTCCCCGTCTGAAGGGTTTAAAAGGCATGGCGTCCGCCTTGACGAGTTCTACGTACTCTCTTTTGAAGTGAAACCGCCTGGTGTCTTTCTGGAAAAGACAGGGCCTTGAAGGAAGGTCTCTCTTCTAGGGTTTCATGTATTTCTCCAACGAGGCGATCAAGGGCAAACATCA